CGCTTTCAAGGCAAGTCTCCCCCCCTCCCAGTTGCGTGGTGATCATCACGTACCATTACGGAATGGCACACACTCGCAGCACCCACCATCAGTGGCCACTGGCCAGAAGTGGATGATCGGAAGAAAAAGGCCAGAACACCAAGAAATATTGAGTTATTTCTGCCGGCCTGCATCCAGGGACCACATTAGACCGTCTCAACTCTCCAGAGCTTGAGAGCTTAATCCAGTGGAATTCTCCAGCAATGCAGTGCGGTGCAGCGTCCGTCCGCGAATGTCTCGCTGCTAGCCTTATTTGGTTTCTATCCCAGCTGGTGGGCACCAATTTTTGGGGAAAGGCAGGTCATCATTGATCGGTATTCGGCCGCCGGACGGATGAAGGCACAGGTCTTTAAGTCATTGTCACCAGGATGGCTCTCGTCGCCGAACATTGATTCTATGCTGAATTCAAAAAAAAAAAAAAAAAAAAAAAAAAAAATCGTTACTTCTAGTACTAAAATAGCTTCCTTTTCTCTTTCTGTTGGGGACCACTTGAGAGAATCAGATGTAGAAGATTTCATTGGCAGATACAAAACCTTCACGTATGTGGCTGGAACAAGTGTGGCACATGGGTTGTGGCTGAAAGCCCACGCTTCTTGACTTCTTCCCACCCGTCGTCCCCAGCTAAGCCAAGTCTTCAAACTTCCTTCAACGTCAAGCTTCAGTCACTTATAAGACATCAAGATTGTTTCCATCCACAACGGATAACATGAGCTACTATGATCTTCTGAGCTCAGTGCGACCGTCCAGCACGGTCAAGTCAGTGCGACCGGCAGCCCACTAATCACACGTTGACGATCGACCGCACCACCGTTTCAAGGCCGCTTTCGGATGCTGCGCCAGCCAAGTAGACACATTGAACTCACATCAGACGACGGGAGATTTTCCAAATCATTCGGTCTCTACCGAGCACCTGAGAACATCTTGCCTCGACCTAAGTGGGCGGGTTTAAGCATATTACAAGGTATCCAGTGCCAATCGTGGATACCACGCGGCATTCAAAGCTTGTTTGCAATACGCAAGCCCGCAATCCCAAGTTCCAACTCTGCATTCTCTACTGCCATCAACATGGATTCAACTTCACGCATATTGGTCGTGACACCTCCCAGGCAGTGCAAACTGCAAAGGTCGAATCCCGAGGCCCCGGGTCGACGAATAAGAATACCCCGTGTCTCGCGATTAGCCTTCCCAGGGGTCATCTGAACTCGTTTCCCTCCGGATCACCTCGAACTCTGCTGATCATGAAACGCCTCTCTGGAATTACCGCTTATGGAACTTGCTCATTTCTCACCGGACGAGTAAAACATGGTGGGGGTTACTTCGTCTAGGAAGCCCACCACACGCTGCTGTGGCTGCGCAGCTCGGTCTCGTCCCTCTTAAAGTAGTGACTTGCACCCATTGTGTGCCCAGTTCGCACTGCAATAGTTCTCGAGCACCATTTACGTGCTCCTACACCGCCTGCTTTCTTTCATCATCGTCACTGGCAGTCACATGTGCCGGACGTGATAAGTTCAGACTTCCTCCCTCTCCTCCATAGCTTCAGCTCAGCCACCCTTCAAAGCAGGCTCGGTTGGGTATAGTCACACTGTTGTCATTCCCCCGGACCACGCTTCGACTCCGACGATATGGACGGCCGGCACGCGTACGCTCCACTGGGAGATTTCGATTCGAGCAAAGAATACAAGCCCGTGGTCGATCAGGCAGAGGATGACTCAACATTAGAGGCAGAAGGCTCGCTACTTCCCATCAACACACGGCGCCACGATACCTGGAGAAGAGTTTCAAAAGCTGCCTCCCTCTTGGTACCAAGTTTCCTTGGACCAAAAGAAACCAAGGCAAAGCCACTTCGCTCTACAGCTTGGCTAGGTAAACAAGAACTATCCTCGTCATCTCTACCTGCCCGGGCTAACATGTTGTCAAAGACGGTTTGCGAGGTATTGCAGCGCTATGTGTCGTCTTCGTTCACTGCGGTCTGGTGTGGTTCTCATGGGACATCCAACTAGCATGGACACCGAACCCACCTCGGCGATGGTGGCTGTACCAACTTCCTATCCTCCGGCTCGTCGTCTCAGGCCTCGCTCCCGTCTCCGTCTTCTTCGTCGTGTCCGGCTACACAATATCGCATCGCGTCCTGACGTTGGCTCGCCGGGGGGAATTCGACAAGGCAGGCTCGGCCATCGCATCTTCGGTCTTCCGGCGCCATACCCGGCTCTTCCTCCCCGCCGCCGTAGTTAGCTTCGTTGTCGCCATCATGACTTGGCTCAACATGTTCCCCGACCAGGGTTTACCCGGCGTGGCGTATCCGACGAGGGTTCCGCCGCACTTTGACTCTCTCTGGGGCCAGCTGCGGCATTATTTGATGGCCGAGACCTTGGTTACTGATCCCATCGGCCAGCCCCATGTCCGGGCCGATTCCGACATACCGGAACCGATATACGATCCCCACCAGTGGACGATTCCGCTCGAGTTCATCAGCTCGATGGTGGTGTTCATGTTTCTATCGGCCTTCACGAGAGTACGCAACAGGGTGAGGATGTTCTTCGCGCTTGGCCTGGCGATTTATCTCGAATGGTTGTTTGTCTACTTTGGGATGTTTCTGTTCCTCAGCGGCATGTTCTTGTGCGATCTGCATCTCGAGCTCGAGGAAAGGCAATGGCGGTGGTTGGCCCCGCGACCCGAACCACAACCCTTGGATGGGGACGCGCATCGGACGTCGAAGAGGGGCAGCATACTGTCTCGTCGCGTTCTTGGACGTGCCGTCGGGCTCGTGTCATTCGTGATCTCGCTCTGGCTGCTCAGCATGCCCGAGGACATGGAGCAGGCAGCGCAGGCACCCGGCTACGTGACGCTCGTATCTTTAGTTCCAGCACGATACCAGGAGTGCCTTATCATACCAGTCGGTGCAGTGCTGACAGTGCTCGTCGTCGACCATGCCGAGTTCCTGCAGATTCTCTTCACGAACCGTTTCTCTCAGTACATGGGCAAGATCTCTTTCTCGCTATACATGATCCACGGCCCTCTTCTTTATTCATTAGGCTTGGTCCTTGGTCGCTGGACTGTAGGTCTTGTCGGTGGTGGAGACAGTCAGACATCCTATGTATTTGCCATCTTTTTGGCTTTCCTCCTCTGGGCGCCTGCGGCGATATATACTGCAGACCTCACTACCACCTTTGTAGACGCGAAGTCGATAGAGTTCTCCAGGTGGGCATACGGGATGCTTTTGAGGGAAGAGTGATAGATCATAGACATACACGGTATGGAATTAGAGTAAGCCCAAACTAATAGGTGGTTCGGTAACACACAAACACCCTCCCCGGCTCCAAAGCGTGATCAAGAAAGATTCTCTCACTCGATGTTCCTTGGGGGATATCGATGGCTCGTCCAAGTACCCCGATCGAGCGTAGATGCTCTTCCCAGAATGGAATAGTGTCAAAAACACCCTGAGGTAGGAGCAGGGGTTCGTCCATTCCTCCCAACGGCGTCGAGAACGCACGGACCAAAACAGGGCTGCGGGGCCCTCTCATTCGTCGCCGACCTTTTTTGGCAACGTCCTCGACGCTTATTTATCCATCAAATAAATTTTTCTATCTCCCTTTTCATCACCTGCTTGCCGTCCTTGACGCTGGGAGTCCAGGATCGCATCATGATGAAATACCCAGCGCACGCAGCAATCGGCTTCTAGCCGGTGGTGTCACGCTCATTTGCGAGCATGGGATCGCAGTCACACCTACCTCGAAACGTGAGGCGGTAGACATCATCTCCATTCAGGGACCGAGATGCTCTTTCATCCCCTGGCACTTCCTTTACCGTACGGCATGGTATGACGAATGGTCAGGCGAAAGGCGCCTTTGATCTCGTTTACCGCCCGCCGTCGAGGGTCATCGACCTCGCACCACCACGGGTTCATTCCCCGGCGCGGATACGGCCGAAACTCCTCGATCAAGGACAGGCCTTTCGAAGTCTGCATCTCGTGGTGTCGATTGCTCCATATGCGACACGGGACGCACGAGGCTTGGGACTCTGGGCTATCAGAAGTTGACGGCACGCTCCCAGTCTCGCTGCGCCTAGCTAACCCAGACATGCAAACTTGAGGTGATCCGTCTCATGATTCGTCGAACCTAGTCAAGTGGTATGTCAAACATTTACTTCATTTTCACCCTCACACCCATCAAATGATGAGAAAAGCATTTATTCACAGACCTGTTCGGAATTTACTGTCGAGAAACGAGCATTTTACTCCTGATATCAAATCATCACCAAATCATTTCTTTAGCATCTTGATCATGCTTCAGTCGCTGACGAAAACTCAGATAGGAACATCTATGCATAGCACCAAGCTGGATTGGCCCAGCTCGAGTCTAAGAAGGCCATTGTTGAAGAACAAGAGGAGCCCATCTCTTGTTGCCCATCTCTTGTTCTCCCAAGGCTAAGCCTCTTGTCTATTTCCGCCAGCGTCTTGTTCTCGTAATTTTTCTTCTTTTCGCACTTTATCCATACCAATCAAGTATCTATAATAGCAATACCAACCTTTGTCAGCCAGACAATCTTCAAACACATCGAACAATGCCGCCTCCCCGCGTCCCCGTTGTCCATCATCGAGTCTCTTTATGCACGTCCTTCTTCATTGACCTCGAGGTTGCTCTGCCACTGTGGAAGGGATGACTACCACATTTATGCCTATATATCGTGTTGTGCGCCCACCCTCCACAGCATCCTTACTCTTCCCGACCTCGGACTACCTATCTAGACATTCGATTCGTTTTCACATTTGCGTCGTATATACTCACCTTTAACTACAGACAAGTTCGACCACGGGTCGTTCAAGTACAGACTATTCAACTACACGAACCACTTGGATTCTCATTTCATCTTCGAAGAGGACAGCAGCAAAAGTCAAGCAGAAAGGGAAGAACAGCACCACAGACTTCCATTCGTAAAGCTACAAGAACAATTTCAGAGACATAATGGCCATGATACTGTCCACCCCGGTGATGGACACGTTCAGCCCAGACCAGCTCCCGGGAACCCTTTTCAACTACGGCAGCGACTCCTACGGTGACGCAGACTCCTTTTTCAACTTTGACGACGCTTGCGTTGAAGGGCCGGTCCCTGAAGTCGAGGAAGAGACTGCGCAAAACCCAGAGACCGCCATCGAGGAGGCCTTGATATCACAGCTCTCCGAGAGCCAAATCTCTGACGGCTCGCTTTTCGGAGGTAATGGCAACTCTAATGATGGTTCCCTACTTAAGTACGAGCAAGAAGAGGGCAAGCCCGCGCAGGTCGCGACAATCAATCCCAACGTCCTCTTCATCACATTGCCAGGAACACCACCGCCACTCAAGCAGGAGCAGCGCCAACTAACACCTCCCACCACAGACGCCACAGCTCTTGTGCTACCGAGCATAGAGCCGACAGAATTGAAACAGGAATTCAAGCCAGAGTTTCAGCAGGACTTCCAACAAGACTTGAGGCAAGAGCCTACGCCCTTCGTCGACGACCCGAAGCTCCAGGCCCTCTTCGAGGAATTCGAAGGTCCCATCGCCGAAGCCCTCCAACTCCCCACAGCGGCCCCGACTCCGGCCCCAGGAGCAGTACCCTGCGTCGGCACATCGTGGCCCTCTCCCCCGCCGAGCGTTCCCTGGCCCTGTTTCGACGGCCTCGAGCCCAGTGGTGACACGGCATGGGACCTGAACAACAACTCGGCTGCGGGGCTTGGCAGTGGCGGCGGCGGTGGTGGTAAAGATCTCTTTGCCTCCCCTCCTCCCCGCGACATGTTTGCCTACCAGCAACCGTGCGGTGACCACCCGTCTTCTGTACTCAGAGACGCCCGCGAAGTCTTTGACCTCGATACCTTTGATTTCGACGACTCCAATAGGGAAACGGTTACCTATGACGGCCTCGAATCCTACAGCCCTGCCAACGTCAAGCAAGAAGCCCCCAACTTTGACGGCTTCGCCTTCAGCAATGTCAAACGGGAGCCCGCCTCCTCGGCGGCTTTCTTTCACCCTTCACCAAAGACCACTACCGACGTCTTTACCGCCCCTCCACCGCCGCAATCTCAACATCATCTGACCCCAAAGCCCGAGTTCGCTCCCTTGGTCCCTGATTTGGCACAAGTTTCAGCCGCCGGTCAAGTCTCTTGCAACTACGACGACGAATCGGTAAAATTCCTTTATTCCCTTCCACTATTCACCCCTCTGACCACTCCACAGTCCATCCCGCGCAGTGTGCCTGCTACCACTTCCACTCCCGCCGCCGTCGCCACGGCGAGACTGGTGCACCCCAAGCCCAGATCACCCCCCTTTCCTGCCGACTTCATCCATCGCCGCAGTCTGTCAACCGCACCGACAGACGTGACTCCCTACAGTATCCTCAACAGACAGGGCCTCTTTGAAGCCGGCATTCCCAACCCCCCATCATACCTGACTCCAGCTCACACTCCATCCAGAGACCTCACAACCCCCGTCGTGAATGGGAAGATCCTCAAGCGTATTCCCAAGCCCGCCAAGGCCAAGGACGTGGACGTATCAGACTGGTATGACTCCCTCCCCGAAGCACCCACGGCCTGGGGTGGCCACGACCACACGAAGCCCATGTTCCAATACAACAAGGAGGGCGAGCTGCTGCCGAATCTGCGCTTCACCCGTGAGCAGATCCTGTACTACATCAGAGAGCGGAAGCAGCAAGGTCTACCCCTCACCCTCTGGATCCAAAACGTCCCCCACGGTTGTAAGACGCGCGTGGGCGACGACAGACTACGCGCGTGCCGCTGGTCAGGCTGCCCGGCTTACAAGGGTACCATCCTCAAAGGCTTCTGGCGCGTCTGCTTCGACGAGCGGCCCGAAACTTCGGGGAAGCAGCATGATCCGTACCACAACGCGGGCTACATGCACTTGTGGTGCATGGATCGCTGCTTCGATCTCCTCGAGATTGCCCAAGCATTCGACCTGAAGCCCGATACACGCTACTTTGAAAAGGAAGAACGCAACCCCATGGCCATGACCCGTGATCACGACGAGCTGGTGATGGAGTTCGAAGAGTGGCGCACGTCCCAGCAGGCTGCCTACGAAGAATGGCAAAGGTCGGCAGAGACGAACAAGATGATGGGCCTCCCCGTTCAGAACCGCCAGGTCGGCCGAGAAGCCAAGCTATGGTATGTGCTGACGACCAAGCACCTGGCGCTGGAGACTCCGGTGCGGAGCAATATGCGGAAGAAGAGAAACGGCATTTCTATTGACAAGCACAAGGGCGATCTCGACTGGTACGTGGAGAGAGTCAACGAGAAAAAGGTATCCAAAAAGGGGCACTCCATCGTCGAGGAGCTTGACAGCGACGACGATGAAGGTGGCCAAAAGACTCCCGCGACCAGGGCGGCCCGCCCGAGTATCATCGAGAAGAGAAAGCGCGAAGTATACGAGTATGACGACAATAACAACGCCTCTCAGCCCCAGACAGCCGCTACTTGGAACAAACGTGTGAAACGGTCGTGCTATTCACCCGTTGAAAGACATTGATGATTGATGCCTTTGTTTATCTTACCCTGAGGTGAATGACCATGCGCCTCCAAAAAGTCTTTGTAATTTGTGGCCACATTGGGATGTTTGTTTTCTGGACCGGAGCAAGGGGGTTTCTTCACACGACTGCGGTTAGCATAGGATTGATACCCCATATTAGATATAGATGCACCCAAGAGGGCGGGGAGGAGAAGCGGATAAAAGGCCTGGTCTGAGGCCTTAACGAATCAGCGATACAGACCAACCTAGTATCAACATGATTAATAACAGATCTCTAACCCAAGACTTGAGTGCATTTCCCAAGTGACAAGCGTGAATCCTGACTCACAATCCAGGCTCTTGCCAAGGGTCCTGGAGCTGGGGCCGGCGCGGCCGCCATGCGACGGTTCCAAACGGCCGGACGGCAGGCTGCGGCCGAGAGCACACGCCCGCGCTAAAGGGCCTCGAATTGACCCCAGAAAGATGGGAAAGTTCGGACAAGTGCTGTTCACAGGTGCTAGGAAGCGGGCGCCAAAAGAGCCGGATGAGGTTTTGGTTCAGGAGCCATGGCTTGGGGCACTTTAGCTGCGGAGCCCTCAACATAACAGAGTTTCGATTAAGAGAAGCGGGATGGAGGGGCCGCAGAATGAACTGGGGGTGACCGGAAGCGGTGACATGGTGTGAAGGCCATTTTGCGTGGATGATGGAGACTTGGGCAGCGAATTGGCAACGCCGTGGTCTGTACAAAGTATCCCGGTAGCCATAGACGGGCAGAAGCTGAACAGACTCGAGGAGGACAGGTGAAGAAAGGGCAGGTCGGCGAAGGTGAAAGCGGGCCGCGGCGTTGGTGCGAATGAATCGTAGCTCTCGCGGCCCGCAGGTAAGAAACGTTGGCGTGCGAAAGCGCGGCGAGGCCGAGGGGAGTAGGGGCGCTAGTCCCAAACGGAGATGCTACGATGCAGGAGGGCGCCGTGCAAGTAAGATGGTACGGAGTCGTATCGTCTCGACAGAGCCGCTGGATCGATTCCTATTGAATGGCTTATGGATCTCGTGCTCCTCTAGATGTAAGGCAGGGCTCGGAGGGCCAGAGGAGGGCAAAAACACTGCGTGCGCGTTGGCGGGGGCGGGGGCGGGAGCCCGGCGGCTGAAAGAGGTGTCTATCTGTGGTGTGTAAGGTATGTCAGTCAATGTTCGGGATGAGATAATGTGAGGGTGTTGAGCTCATGTGAAAGTACAAATAGAGAGGCGAGTTTCTTGCAGTCACAGTCATGGCTGATTAGAATAGCCAGCCCATCCTTGCGACATAGCAAGCCAGTCGGCTTGGAGTATTGTTCTCGACGAATTCGATGTGGTAGTTTTGACTCAGACAACGACCAAAGTAAATCTTGACTGACTTGTTACCTTGTTTCCCCCTCTTCTTCCATCGTTCCATTTTTGTTCTTTGGCTTTGACAGTTTGCGACAAAAGGCAAAAGCCAGTCACGATTCATCGCATTAGGATCCCAGATACGTGCTACGGGAAGCACGGCGGTGGTTGCCGTCGGGAAGAGGGTTCAGAGTGCCTGATTCGCTTCATCCCATTATCGAGCTTCGAGGGGCAACTTGGGATTGTCTTGGTGCGGCATCGAAGCCCGCTCATCCCCGCGAGCAGTCGGCGATCGGACATCAGACGGCACAGAGCTGGAACACTGGGCTGAAGCTTAGCCCCGAAGGGAGGGCATCGGGTGATCTTCGACAGCGTCTTGGACGGGACCTTGCCGACATTCGACAAGCACGAAAGCCGAAACAGGATTTGATTTGGCAGTATTGGCCGAAGAGGGCGTTGTCGACACGAAAATAGCCTAGGGAGCACATTGGCTGCAATTGAGTTTGCGGTGACGAGAGGCTCCAAGACAGAAAGAGGCAGATGTGCAGCCGAAGAGCAAGATTGAATTTGGAAGAACAACGAGCGAGAATTGATGCGACGACACCAAAAAAAAGGCTACGACACGTCGACACCACGTTGCGCAGAGTTGAGAGTTTGCGTGGAAGGTGCTTGTCACGTTGCGCAACGAGTTGCACCTGTTGTTAAGATTGGAAGGCACCTCACGGACTGGGGAAACCATCAAAGGAACGAACCTACCTGCCTTACACGTTACGGCACCTCAACCTGTGGCCTTTAGGCAATTACGCGTTGGAGATTTACAACTGGAAGGTTCCGCCCATTTACAGATACCTTGCCACAGATTGGCCCGACATTCGACCCTACATCTTTCGGGAAGTCACAACCAGGGGGTCTGTCATTGTGCTTTCCTCTTTCTGACCGTTGATTCCATGCTGGGAGAGGGTTTGGGTACCTTGAGGGAGAGAAAACAGACAACAAGCAGCAAGAGCAGCACGATCGTAGTGCACGAGCCAAGTGAGCACCTACCTTTACCCGACCTATCGGACCTAAAGCTGCAGGTGCGAGCAGTGGCACACGAGGGTTGTTGCCGCAACAGAGTTCCGGTCCTTGCCAGTAAGCAGGAGCGGCTCACCAGGGTTGACTTGCAGGAGGCAGGAGGCAGAAGTAGAAAGTAAGAGCTGCTGCTGCTCTGCTCTGTTCTGTCATCACGTCTCAGGATCGGTACTTGCAAAAACTCGTTATTGAAGTGGTGTTTGTGGTATCATTTCCCGCGCATTCCGACCACACTCAGCAAGCGCAAATCCTCCTTCTGTCTGTGGGAGAGAAGAAATCGCTGTCGCAAACATTTGGTGGCCACTCTACGCTTCCTGCACGCCTTTTTTTTTTTTTTTTTTTTTT